CATTTTATTTTATTTTGCTTGGTGACTTACTTTGTTCTGTCTGTTACTACTTGGAACCACTAAAATCCTATTTTCTGTATTTAATAAAATCACTTTTTACTTAGTAATTAACTCGGAGTATGTATTAATACGTGGGGGAGCAAACAACTGTGCATATCTCTCTATCAGTGTTATAGAGGGCGAACAATTTATAAGTTTGCCCTGCATAAGCTTTATACAGGATAAAACCGATTCATTTGGGTTTAGACCCCATTGGGAGTTGGGCATCTAAGTGCTAAAGACAAGCACACATCTGTGAGCTGTTTGCAGGTAAAACTGCAGCTTAGGGGCAAGTAATTCAGACCCTGGGTCTGTGTTGGAGCAGACAGAAGTGTCTGGCTCAGCAAGACAGGGTGCTGGAGTCCTAAACTGGCAGGGAAAACAGGGATAGAAGTAATCTTGGCACATCAGTGGGCAGTTCCCAGGGGGGTTTCTGTAATCCATCCCGTCACAGTGGCATAGTCGGCAGGATCTGTGCACAGCTGATTGATTTGAAATACTGGTAGTAATTTTAAGTGAGTTTTAAGTGTGGTGGCTGGAAAACAGACAAAGTGGTTACTGGTTTGCTTATTTCGGGAAAGTGAAGTAGGGACAGAAAAGGAAGCAAAATAAATAAGAAGAAAGAAGCTAAAACTACACATGTTGCAAATTGCCCAGAAAGACTAAAGACTGGGCGCTGGAAAAGTCTCTGTTAACTAAGAAGCCCCTGAGCTAAGTGCATCCCAGTTTCAGTGAACTGGGTGTAGCCCAACCTCCGTGTCTGAAGTGGCTGACTGAAGTGTCTAACTTAGCAAGACAGGAGTGAAGAGGTGCCTGTTCCGGCAGGAGGGGGGTTCTCTGTGGTATCCCAGCTCATCAAGTGATGGTCTCAAGGGAAAATAAATGAAAATTAATGTACAATTTGCCTGGGAAAAGGCTGACCTGGAAAAAGAAAAGGCTGCCCACCAGCCTGGACTTAAAAAACAAAGCAGTTAAGACCCAAAAGCATAAACTGGCTGTAGTGAAGTGAAAGAGGTACACAGAGACATGTGTCCTAAAGCTGGAAGTTGTGGTCCTGGTGACTGCTGCGGTGGGAACAAACCCCAAGAATTCTAGCTGGAAGCAAACCCAACCTGAATGAAGGGGTGGGGGATTTTGCTGGCCAGCGAAAGGTCTGGCATAGCTGGCAGCTGTAAGCCTACAGCTGAATCAGGGTCTCTTTCCCTTTTGGGGGACACAGGAGTGTCTGCCCCATAGGGAAGCCCAAAAACAAATGTTAGGTATACTGCCTCCGCCATGGTCCAAGTCTCTGGCAGTAAGTTCAGGAGGAGTGTGTGACATTGTGCAGTCTATATGGTTTTATAAAAACATGATAATAAGTGAATATAATGTAACTGAATATGCTTCATGCAGAACTAGAAATAGTAAAAGCTGGCAGGGAAAATAAAATAGGGGTAGTCTTGCTACATTAGGTGGCAGCTCCCAAGGGGGTTTCTGTGATCCAACCCATCACAGTCTACCACTGCAAAAGCGGAAATGATAGCTTTTCCTTATTTAAGTAAGAGCTCTTTTTCCATGGCAGCATTGTAAAATTGCTGTCCTTTAAAATTATGTAGGTGAATAATTACGGGTTGGAGTAAAAGCTGTCTCTTGCAGCCCTATGTCCAATGGGCTCTATCTATTTTTAACTTATTCCCTTTTCTCTCTAGATCCAGTAGTCTGGGGATTCATTTAAAACAAACAGTTAGTGGATGTACGATTTCTGCTACTTGGATCAACAGCTTCTGTATTCAAAATCTTCAGCTTTACTATCTCAGAAGGTAATGTTGCATTCTGGAGAAAGGGGTCCATTGCTGTTAGAGATGATTCAAGTGGTGCTTTCCGAAAGTGTACTTTCTGTGATAGTGGTCAAGTTTAAAGATACCTTCTTGATTTTGATGGCAAGATCACTGAGTTTTGCAGACTGCATGGCTCTACCATCTTGACTGTCTTCCTGATCCGATTCTACTTTTATAATTCACAGTTTTGATATCAGACATATTGGACTTGTCATAATGTTCCAAAAGGATTTCATAGAGGTCCTAGAAAGCTATTTATGGAGTGTGATTGGCTGGGGGGCCAAAAATTAGCATTTCTATTGGGAATTATGGAAGGATTCATTTGGGAGCTCAGACAATCTCTGCTTGGCTGCTGCGATGCATCATGTTACTGTGGAATGAGAGTTTGTGATAGTGCAATGAAAAACTACAGAAGAATTATGTATAAACTTTTTCTACTATAAAAGTTAAACATAGAAAAAATGGCTCAAATACAAAACATTAAATGTCACCCCATTAAGAAGTTACCTGCCAATTTAGACTCACTTTTGCTACTCTTATCCACACATGAGTAAAGACTGTGGAAGTGGGCCCTAGAGCACAAATTAAATTTAAAACTTTGGGGCCCGATTACACTTTGCATGGGTATAAAATGATTCCAAATCATAATTCTGTACTCACACTAGTGGAAGCATTTTATTCCCATAGAAGCAGAAAAGACAACTCAGTATGAAAGTGATTCAGAAGACTTTCAGAAATGTTGTAAGATTATAGTATAGAAAATGTGTGCAAATATACAAACAGCAGAAAAATAATAATTAATACTACCTATCATACAACTTTGAGAGGCACTGATCCAGAGCGCATTGACATCAGTGAGACTTTTCATTGATTTCAGTAGGCTTTAAACCCCCAAAGTGTCCAGGTCACTAATGCTTTTAATTCACTGAGCTCTGCTTCCTGCATGTCAAACAATCCTGCTCCCATTGAAGCCAATGGTAAAACTCCAAAGCAGGGGCACCATTTCAGAACAATTCTGGGGTGAAATAGGGATCAAAGTTGTGTCAGCATCCCTACTTCCACCTCCCTGCTGAGGTCATGGCTGGCCATGGGGTTAGTGGGCTAGTCCCATCCCTGGGACAGCAGAGGGGCAGGGAGGTGGTGTGCCGGAGTTATCCCGGAGGGCAGGCAGGAACCAGAGGCAGGGGTGAGCCAAAGGGCCATTGTTTCCCCACTTTTTAAATAGGCCCCTCCAGAGGAGCCCCTTCCAAGCTGGCTTGATGGATGGGGGTCTGGGCCAAATTTGAGTGACGCTGCAACCCACATTCCAGGGTGCAATTTGAGCCTGGCTCATTTTGAGTGGTGTCTCACTGATGGCCAGCCCGGGACAGGGATTGGGGACTGGTTCGCTCTGCGCTCAGCACCAGGCAACCTGCCACTGCTGCTTTCTGTCCAGCTGGTGGGGAGAGGAGAGCAGCACTGGCAATGCAGTGACTGGGTGCCAACACCTGGCCCACCCCATAATGGCCCCCACAGGCATGGGGAAGACACCACACTGCTAGCTGGCGAGGAGCCATAAAAAGTGTTAGGGAGGAACTGTCCCCACCACCCTCTAGCAAATGTCGCCCCTGCTCCAAAGGAAGCAGGATTGGGTGCCAAGTGCAATAACAGTTTGGAAATATCAGATGAAGAGAGCTGTAACTAAGCTGAAAAGTTTATTTAAATTTTCTAGTGGGCCTTTTTCATCTTCCATGATTGTGATTCTAACCGTATTCCTGGGGATGGGGCTACTGAAATGTTGAGATGTATTTTTAACAAATGATTTGAAAATTAATTGTAATGCCCACCCTATTAGTCACTGCAGTTTTCCTTTTTCAATATGTCTAGGGATCCAATTCTGCTCTTTCTGAAATCAGACTTTTGTCATTGACTTCAATACAAGATGTGTTTGGCCCTTGATGTATTAATTATAGGCTCACTAAAATAGAACACAACATCCTTCCTTTTCTTTCTCCTTCACTTGAGTAGTGAAAGCAAAAGAGCTGCCTTTTAAATATCAATCAAGAAGACCAAGAATCAGTTTATTGCAGCAGATTTTATAGGCAGGGGAGCTAAATAGTAATTGGATCAACAGTAGCAATTACATTTCTCATGTGATAGCACCAGTGAATGAGCACCACGTAACCTCATTAGCCAATAGACTTCACTGCAATTAGAAAAATTGTTAAAGGATGAAGAAAGAAGATAGTCTTCTTAAAATTATCTTAGGAACATGAAATCTTTTGGTAATAGTAGATAACCAGTTATATGGAATTTTCTATTTCCCATAAAAACGGCTGTTTTCTGAAGAGAAGATACAGTTTGATGAGATTTACAGTACTGTGTCTCCCATCAGGTGACAGAATGCACTTTGGTAGTGGCTATAATATGTGCAAAGGCTTATGCATGAAGAAGTATAATCAGGGCCAAGATCTAAAACCTTTGGGCTGAAACCAGGTAAATATTCATACAGATGGCCAGATAGACACCCAACTGCTTGCTTGTACTGTACTGGCATTTGTAAGGTGTAAGGTGAATAAGTGGGCCTCTACCTTTTAATGTGGTCCTGTGTGATGCAGAGAATGGAAAGGAATAGTTTTATTCCTACTCCCGTGAGACTTTTTCAGGGTTGGATTACATTTTTGTTAATAGTCTTAGGAGTGTAGTTAAGGCAGCATTGTCAAGTCATTTAAGTTTCAAGCTTCATACATTTTAAAAACTGTGTTGTGGGAGCAGACTCCATTCTGAGATTCCAGTCATGACTTTATTGATCCCTATTGCACTAACTTTTAAAAACAAAAATAAAAGTGGGCTTAACAGAGTTATTTGATCTTTCATTGTATTATTTGGTCCAACTGGTGGCATTGGCCAATAAAGCCTGAAGTGACTTGAATCCTGGCTCACCTCAGGAACTGTCAGTCTTCTGTAGACACCCTGTTACTGGAACTGCACTAGTTGAGGTGCTTGAAGTGGCAACCACAGGGTCTAATTGTGAGGAAGCGGAAAGCAGGGAATTTTCAGAAAGGGGTTTTGACTGGGCCCATAATACAGGGAGATAACAGAGGATGTTGCTCCCCAACTTCCTCTGAGTTGGGATTATAAACTCAGCACTCCCTACCTTTCCAAGAGGGAGTTGCGTGGCTGCCTCCTCCTGCGAGAAGCCAGCTGAAGACCCCACTCTGTAGCTGCCCACGTCTTCTCTGACTGTCTTCCTGTGGGGACCGGGGGAGGGGAAGAAGTGGAGACACCAAGAAGCAGCCACTTCCCACAGTCAGGATCCTCCAGCAGCTCCAGCTCCCTCCAAGGATCCTAACATCTGTGAGTTCTGTTTCGGGGCGGGGCAGGAGGCAGGGAGAGAAGCAGGAGGAGAGTGAACCCCAGAAACGGGAAAGGAAATTGTTGGGGAAGGGGAGAACTAGCCTAGGGGCCTGCAAGGGAGAGACCCTCATTTGGGAGGGAGTGGAAGAGATAAGGAGAGGAAAGATAGTTGCAGATAGTGTGGTGGGAGGAGGAGAAACCAAGGGAAGAAAGGATTCTGGTGGGTTGAAGGCGGAGGAAAGTGGGAGCTGCCTGGGAGATGAGGAGAGGAAGAGCAAGAAGAAACAGGAATGGGGAGCAAAGAACCCAGGGCAGGAAGACCTCATAAGGGAGGCTATAGTGGGAGGAGAGGCAAAGAGGAGGGAATAGAATAGAATGGGACAGAGAGATTTGGAGCTAGTGCAAGATAGGAAAGGATAGGGATGGAGGGAGGGATTAGAAGCAGGAGGGTAGAACAGAAAAGTTAATCAGAGGGGAAAGAAAGGGATAAAAGACAAGTGAAGGAAAAGAGATAATTAAAAACAAGGCAGATAGTAAGTTAATCATATTGTTTTACAGAAATTTAAATGACAAAATATTTACAGTCAGTATTATAAGCAATAGGTTGCTTGATTTTAAATAGCATTACGTATGAAAAAAAATGAGGTGAAACCCTGGCCCCAGTGTAATTAATGGAAGTTTTGCTATTGACTTCAGTGGGACCAGAGTTTCACCCACCATTCTTTAGGATGATGGTCATGGAGGGGAGAATGGCAGCTCTGGTTGTGAATGTGTGAAGGACAGTGGAAGGGGGAACCCAGTGTTTCTGTGGGTGGGAAGTGGGGATGTTTTGTTTTAATGTTTTCAATCTGTGTGTTTGAATATGTTTATATATAAACATGTTTATATATGGATCTGATGGGAACATAAAGGGACTACAATAATAAATTACTCTAAAAAGTAATTTGATTATATGTAACAGATTAACATGAAGGGTTACTTATGTATAATATAATTTTGATGGGTAATCTGATTACTTTTTACAGCAGAAAGTAATGTGGTTTACCTTGCATTATTTTTGCAAATTACTACCCCTTCCTTTCCAACTCTTAACCCTTTACCTGCTTTCCCAGGTGGAAGATTAGTTGAGTCAATCATCCTCCTCGCAGACTTTATTTACCAGGACCTCTCCACCAGGGTTGATAGTGACCCTGGATTGAATCTGGCCTTTCATGTTTAGATTAAATAACATGATCTGACCATACTCAAGTATAGATGATTAATAAAAAATTGACCGAATAAACTGTGTGACATTGACAGCTCAACAGTATAAACCTGTTTATTACCAATGACATTGTAGATGGTCTTTTATCTGTCTCTATCTCTCTCTACAGAGAGAGAGAAGAAAAATGAGTGTGCCCTCTCATGGGACAAAGCAACACTAGCAAAATAATTTCTTAGTTTAGCATTTTGGGGAAGAAGTTCCTGGAGGACAGCCAAAGAAACTGCTGGAGAAGTTGGCTGCCTTGGAGTGCCGGTATAAAGCAATGCTTTAGACAAAAATATACTCTAACACTATTGTGGTAAAAAGTAAAATGATCTCAGCCAATTTTATTGCTCTTAGTGAAAATCTCATATAAATACCTTATCAAGCATTGCTACAAGGAGGGGGAATGGTGTACAGAGGATTTTAGGGCCTGAGCTTGCCACAAAAGTCCATCTTTTATTATGCAGGTCCTGAAGCTGAGTGATCTGGACTTCTGCTTTGAGCAACTTGAATGGTAAACATTTAATGGGAGGAAAATGTCCTTTCCTTGTCTGCCTCCAGCCAGATGTCGGCTCAGCTAGGCATTTTATAGGGCTTTTTAAATTTTTTTCAGCTCATTTACCTGATATTTAAGTAAGGCACACTAGGCTATAATCTCCTGGGACAACTCTAACAATTCTGACTTTTATAAAATAGGTGCAGCAGTGGCTACCTGCAGTAGTTTATTTTAATGATAAATTACATATTTACATCTCATTTGCTTAATTCTTGAATCCTTCAGAACTCTTGGATTAATAACATCTGGTCCTGGTGACCAACGGGCCGCGTCACAAATGAGGGTCAGCACTTCCAATAGCACTTCTGACACCTTAAATCTCTGAATCATCTTTATTAACTATTAAGTGAAGCTCTACAGTACATAGGTGCTGGAACTAGGGGTGCTGGGGTGTTGCAGCACCCCCTAGCGTAAAGTGGTTTCCATCATATACAGGGTTTACAGTTTGGTTCAATAGCAATCAGCACCCACACTATACAAAGTGTTCCAGCACCCCCGCTGAGGTAGGATCTCCCAGTGATCTTCTGTGGTGAAAGCTGATGCAAATACATCATTTAGCTTTTCTGCAATATCCTTGTCGTCTTTGATTTCTAGAGCAAGAGCCAGATATCGGAGTCTAAAACAAAAAGTCTGTATTATGAGAAACAGCACACACACACATACACAAGATTTGTGTAGGAATTTGTCAGTATTCAAAATAAAAAAAAAATCTGTTCCAAAATGAAAACTGAAATCTACCTGAAACCCCAAATGCTGTACAGTTCTAGATTTCAGTGCTCTGTTTCTTTTAGAGACAATAAACTCTGCTGGAAACTACATCATTCCAAAAGGAGAGAGAAAGTTTTCTCTTAACTAAAGCAGGTAACTTTTCATTTTTGGAAATCTGGGTTCTAATCATGTGGATCACCAGTGAACTTTGTTTGATGGATTCAATCCAGTTCTCTATTTGAAAACTGCTGTATCACTAAACCACAACACTATACATCACAAGCAATAGTCTCTACACAGAAGAGACCCCAAGAGAAAAGCAGTAGTATGGAGTATGTGAAGAAGTTATATTTTTACACTTGTCTCTATTTTAGCAGTTGCATACATGTCACAAAAGCAGATTTTATCCCACTTTTGTGTTGGGTGTACCTGATTGTGAAGCTTGGCAAACTGCTAACTGACTGCTTGGCCTATGAAACTTGTCTGTGTGCAGACCCTCATTTTCATGAATGCTGATATTCACCAAAATTCTCAAAATATGGGGGTGTCAAAAAAGTAAAAGTAAACTTGAAATTGAAAGAACAATATTTATATAAAACTGATTTTCCTGAGAAAATCTTTGGTATAACAGAACATGGAGAGGTAAAAAAGAAATGTAAAGAATGAAAAATGAAGAAGAAATTAGGAAATATGCATTTCTCTTTATGACAAGTGAAATTGTTGACATAAAATAAATGATACATATTTGACATGATGTTGGTGTGGTGCTAGGCTGTACTGGATTTCCTTGTGCTGGTTTTCAAAAGAAAAATTTTAAGTTGTATTTACACATCTTAGAAAATACAAGAAAACATCATCAAACTAGTTAGATACTCCAGAATAATAACTGCCTATGAATATCCAATATTTGAAAACATTATATCTGCATACTGAGTTTCAGAACTGAAGAGATGGTAAACAGCCACAACACACAAACAGCCACAACAGGGTCATCATTGTTTGTATAGCCTCATCTTCATGGAAAAAAAATACTAAAATCTGTTGCAGCATCTCTGTCACCCTGGCTCCCAATGTCCTAGGACAGAAGAATAAGTCCTACAAGAAATCTCTAAGACAAATTTCAGAAATGAGTGGTATCAATATCCTTGCACAAAGGGGTATAATAAAAAACAAGATGTTATCTTCCCACCCATCAGCCCATATTTGCCATTTAGTCAGTGGTCCTAAATGCTGGTCCTAAATGAAGGGTAGTATACATATCACACTTAGGGGGGCTTTAATTCCAGAAATGGTATTTCCAGGTAAAACAACTTCAATAAGTTATTTAAGGGTGCTACAGTAAAGTAAGTAATATAACTATTAGAAGACTACTAACCAAATACTTTAGAGTTAATAAATCATGAGCACTGAAAAGAATGGGAATGATTACTTCGAACATTCGTACTGGGTACTCTTACCACCATCTTTCTGATAGTAATATTCTTGAAGGGATGCAGAGGGGGAAGCTGTGTTTCAGGAAGACAAGCCATAACACATGGAGATCTTTGAAGATGAGAACTAGGATCCTGAATTGGATCCAGTACTCAGTGAGAGGCGAAGTAGCATGTGGAATGCTAATGTGATGTGGTTCTGTCCACTTGGTTGTCTTAGGAAATGAGCCACTAAGCTTTAGACAAGTTGCCACTTCTATGTGGTTTCTGCATTCTGTAGTAGACCAATCTTGAAGTAATCAAAGTGTGGATCACTGTGGCCAGTTCCTTATTGGGAGGAGCATATGAAAATCTGTTGCCTGCTGGAGATCTAGAATGTGTTTCTGGTCACTGTTGTACCTAGACAGCTAGCCATTAAGTTAAATCAGGTTTTAGCACCACCTACTGGTAAACAGAATTAATAGTTTGCAGCCTGCAGTCTTCAGATGCTTTTCAGCTTGAAATATGCTTTTAACTAGGGTTACCATATTTCACAAATAAAAAAAGAGGACCCTCCATGGGGCCCTGGCCCCGCCCATTTCCCACCCCAGCCCTGCCCCAACTCCACCCCTTCCCCGCCCCAACCCCGCCCCCTCCTCCTTCCCACTCCCAGCCACGTGAAAAGGGCTGCCTGAGCGCTACCGGCTTTACAGTTTGCCGGGCAGCTCCCAGACCCTGCGCCCCCCGGCCGGCACTTCCCCAGCGCAGCTGGAGCCCGGGAGGGGAAGCGCCCAGCCGGGGGCGCAGGGTCTGGAGGCTGCCCGGCAAACCGTGAAGCTGGTAGCGCTTGGGCTTCGGGCAGCCCCCATGCTTCCGGACCCTGCATCCCCGGCCGGGCACTTCCCCTCCCGGGCTCCGGCGGCGCAGGGTCCGGAGGCATGGGGGCTGCCCGAAGCCCAAGCGCTACCAGCTTCACGGTTTGCCGGGCAGCCTCCAGACCCTGCGCCCCCGGCTGGGCGCTTCCCCTCCCGGGCTCCGGCGGCGCAGGGTCTGGAAGCATGGGGGCTGCCCGAAGCCCAAGCGCTACCAGCTTCACGGTTTGCCGGGCAGCCTCCAGACCCTGCGCCCCCGGCTGGGCGCTTCCCCTCCCGGGCTCCGGCGGCGCAGGGTCTGGAAGCATGGGGGCTGCCCGAAGCCCAAG